GCCCAGGAGTTGGAGGTTGCTGTGAGCTGTAATGCCATGGCACTCTACCCAGGGGGACAGCTTGAGGCTCTGTCTCAAAAAAAAAAAAAAAGAAGTAGGGAAAAAATTACAGTGCCTCTCCATCACTGAGTTACTGAGACGGCAATCCTACACATTTGTTGAGAAGCTCCTAGCTTCTCCTGGGAGGCTGTCAAGTACTCAAAGGTGCATAAATATTCTATTAACACCAGCATCCTCGAAGCAATACGCAGAGCTGTCAAAAGCTCTTTCAAAGTTACACTCATTGGGTCCTTGGGCACCTGAAACTGCCAACTACAATAAACGAGAATTACAATAAATGAGAATAAGCAGAATGCTAAAGTTTTAAAATTTGCATAACAAGCTGAGGCATCCTACGCCCTCTCTCTGAAACTCATAAGTACGCATTCTTGCGCTCCAGGAAGCTGAGCTCCTGCAGCAGCATCTCTGCCCAATGGGGGGGCGGCAGCAGCTCAGTAACTCCCTCCCCAAGGACGTGTAAATGGGAGGAGAGATTCGCGTTCAAATTCTTTTTGACTCTACCCGCTCTCCGTAGCACCTTAGCGCGCTCGAGTTTCAATGCGCGCTGTTGCTTAACGAAGCTGTGTCCTACACTCCGCCCGCTGTTCTCCCGGTCATGGCTTCTCCGAGTTCCTTCACCTATTATTGTCCTCCATCTTCCTCCCCTGTCTGGTCAGAGCCGCTGTACAGTCTGAGGCCCGAGCACGCGCGGGAGCGGTTGCAAGACGACTCGGTGGAAACAGTCACGTCCATAGAACAGGTGAGGTGTGGCAGGACTGGGCGAGGCGCCCGCGCGGGTCCTTCTGGGAGCGGGAGTCCCGTCCGCATGGCTGCCCTTGGCGCGGAACTCGCCGGGGAACTACGACTCCCACAGTGCATCGCGGCGCCCCCTCTGGGAAGCCCTGGGCGCCCAGACTGGGGTTACGGAGAGTATCGTTTGTGGGGTCAGGTCGGGGAGGGGTCGTTTCAAGGTTGGGCTCGGAGGAGAGGACAGCATCCGGTCGCCTCTGCCTTAGAGAGCGGGAAGGATCATGTTCTTTTCCTAGAGGACACAGGCAACCCGGGTGGATCAGTCTATTCCATTTAGTCGGGACTTCGGGAGGTTCCGGGACGGAGGGTGCGCTTTCTCTAACCAGCTCTCAGTTCCTGGACCGACAAAGGAGAGAAGGGCCAGACTGCAGTCATGCCACTTCACAATCTAATTCCTGACCTGCAGCGCTTAGGTTTGGTGTTCTCTTCGTGGTTGAGCCTTTTGGTAGTCATTTAAACACTAGCTCTGTGTCGGATACACTGGAAATACAAAGAAGTAAACAGTCCCTCACCGGGAGCCTGGTTGGAGAAAACTGTCAGGAAAACAATACAGTTGGAAAGTGCTGTAATAAAAATATAAATTTTGGAATACTCATTCATTAAGGCCTATCACTTTTGAAAAGGGTTGAAGGAATGTGTAGTGAACTATAGTTTTTTCTTCTCATTCCCCAGTTGGAATTGTTCCTAAGGTAGTTATTTTAGAATTGTTTACCCATCTGTCACTAGAAGAGGTTAGGATGATTCTTTTTAGCATTAACAAATAGGCGCCGGGCTGCTTGCTAAAATAAGATCTCTTAATAAGTAAGATCAGTCTCCAGGCTTAACCTTGGAGTCTCCTGCTTTAGTTTTCATACCTGAAGTTGGAAGCCTCTCTTTACACGACAGGAACAGCAATAATTGCTGTATTGTTCAATTATGACTAAATACAAATTTATGACAAAAATAAGGGCTCCGGAACTGGTTATTCAGGAATAGCAGACTGTTTTTACTGTAGATTTACACTTTGTGGATATTAGGATGGCAAGGAAATCCTTACCTTTTGAATCTAGTCTCCAGGTTGGTTAGTTCACCATTTTGTAATACAGAAGTCTGATTGCAGAAGATTGCAAAGAAATCTCTCATCAATGAAAAACCTGCAGAATAGAATCTTTACAGTATTCCTTAGTGATGGATTTTTTTTTGAGACTGAGTCTCACTTTGTCACTTTGTAGAGTGCTGTGACATGATAGCTCACAGCAACCTCAAACTCTTGGGCTTAAGTGAGCCTCTTGTCTCAGCCTCCTGAGTAGCTGGGACTACAGGTCTTTGCCACAACTTCCAGCTATTTTTAGAGTCGGGGTCTTGCTTTTGCTCAGGCTGGTCTTAAACTCCTGAGTTTAGGCAATCTACCCATCTCAGCCTCCCATAGTGCTAGGATTACAGGCCAGAGCTACCTCTTCTGGACTCTTAGTGATAGATTCTTGATTTATTCGGGTCAAGTCATTTTATCTGACCTTATGTAGCTGATTGCATTGACCCAGCAGAAAAGGGTATGGATAGAAAGCTAGTGGAGAAAGGGAGTCACAAGTTGGGCACAAAGTTTTGAACTTACAGAGGCAAGTCAAAAACAGGAACATTATTAGGAGTTTTTCTGATATGTATGCCCCCCCGCCCCCTCCCACCAGTCTCTGTCTTTCTCCCTCTCCTCAGTAGAGTACTGAAGCTTCTACATATTTAGTTCCTACCAGGAAAACCAGCATTCCTGTCCTATGTACCTGGCCATATTGAGTGACACAAAAGTAGGTACACCAAGGTTGTCATTTAGCTAAGGCCAGGGCCAGCTGTGGGTGTGATATGGAATGTTGGGGTTAGAGCATTTTTCAAATCTAAGCCCAGTGGTATGCTAGACAGTAGAGCATCTTACATTTCTTTTCCATGTCATTATTCCAGCTCACATTTTAAGAGTTTAGAATGAACAGGAAGACAATGTGGTATCTCATTCTCATGACTATCTCACTGTTTTTTTTGAGACAGAGTCTCACTATGTCATCCTCGATAGAGTGCCATAGCATCACAGCTCAAAGCAACCTCCAACTCTTGGGCTAAAGCAATTCACCTGTCTCAGTCTCCCAAGTAGCTGGGACTACAGGTGCCTGCCACAACGCCTAGCTAGTTTTTTTAGACAGAGCCTCAAGCTGTTACCCTGGGTAGAGTGCTGTCACATCACAGCTCACTGCAACCTCCAACTCTAGGGCTTAAGCAATTCTCTTGCCTCAGTCTCCCAAGTAGCTGGGACTACAGGTGTCCGCCACAATGCCCAGCTATTTTTCAGTTGTAGTTGTCATTGTTGTTTGGCGGGCCCGGGCTGGATTCAAACCTGCCAGCTCTGGTGTATGTGGCTGGTGCCTTAGCCGCTTGAGCTATAGGCGCTGAGCCTTGCTATTTTTTTTGTTGCAGTTGTCGTTGTTTAGCTGGCCTGGGCCAGGTTCAAACCCGAGAGCCTCAGTGCATGTGACTGGTGCCCTAACCACTGTGCTACGGGTGCCAAGCCCATTCAACAAATAAACTTGAGTGCCTTCTAGGTGTCAGGAACTATTGTAGGTGTTCAGTGTATGTCAGTGAACAAAGAGGCTGAGTTGATACCTTTCTGAAACTTTTGTTTTAGGCCAAGGGGGCAATTAAAAAAGAAAAAAAGTTTTTTATCTGTGTAAAAATGCTAATTAAAGAGAAGTGTTGTGGAGAAAGTAAAGCAGAAGAAAGGGGATAGTGGTGTGAGGTGTGGGTGGGAGGGAATTTGGAAGGTTTTCATAGGTAGTGAGGGAGATGAGACCGAGACCGCATGTGATCTGAGACCTGAAGGGAGGGAGCAAGGCATGTGTGGATCTGGCAGAAGAGTATTTTGGGCAGAGAAAGCAGTGAGACCTGAGGCAGGAGTATGCCTAGTGAGTAAACAGGAGAATAGGAGATGGACTTGGACCATGGAGGGCCTTCCTGACCATTGGATGTACTTTAGAATACCCTGGTTGAGATGGGGAGCCATTTGCCACCCCAGATTCCTTTGACCCTTTCCACCCTGTGCTGTGTTCCTGGAGGTGACCCCCACTGACAGGCTCTCTTGCCTTACAGCTGTGGAAAGTATCACTACAGGGTGAGAGAGAGGGAGAAGAATGCTGTTGGTTATTCTTCCTTCTTGTTTGTGTGGGCTGGAGCCTTGTCTCCCTCTCCTCTCCGCTCCTCTCCACACTCCAGTCCTAGGAGGAGTCAGATACCCCTGAGTTTTCAGCCCACCACACTGCAGTTCACCTCATGGTTTCTCTATACCTGCCCATACCTTTGTAGGCAGTTCCTTTACAAAGTCTCCTCATATCACCCACTTTGTGCCATCTGTTTGCTGCCAGGACTCAGACTGGTCTGTGATCAAAGGATTTTCAGCAGGGAATGACATGATCTAACTAGAATTTTAACGGGCTCGTTTGGTTACTCTCCATGGTAGACTGTGGGGAAGGAAGGCTGGATGCAGGGAAGCCCTTCAGGAGGCTCCTGTGGTATTCTAGGCGGGAGTTGAGGGCAGCTAGCTCAGAGTGAAGGTAGTGGAGCTTCTGGATATTTTTTTTTTTTTTT